GGCTCTTTCTCTGGGGAGCGTGCGAGTGGGCTGAGCTGCGCTGCGCCCCGGGGGCGGCGCGAGCTGGGGCCCGGGCGCCCACACGGTAGTTGATGCCCGGGGACCGCGCGCCTCCGCCCCCGACTCGGCCGAGCGGAGCCCCCGCCGGCGGCTCGCAGCCCGCATTCCGGGGCCCCCTTGCAGCCGGGCTCTGGAGTTGGGCCGGTTCCGCCCCCGCCTCCCGCGGGCCCCTTCCGCAGCTCGGCGCCCGCTGCTCTCCGCAGAGGCGGCGGCGAGGGCGCGCGCGCCGACCGTCTGCACGGTTTCTCTTTCTCCCCAGGGAGAGCGCGCCACGGACGCGCCGGGGACGCTCGGCTGCACCGGGAGGCCGGACGGCGCGGTAAGTGGCCCCGCGTCCCGGGAGTTGGGGTGTGGGACGGTTGACAGCCCCCGCCCCGGGTTTGGCTGGGCTCTGGTCCAGGCCCCCTGATCGGCACACCGGCAGGCCGCGGAAAGTTTGATTTCCTATTTGGTGGCGGGCTGATGGTGCAGCCCGCCCGGCAGGGCGAGTCCCCGGGGCTCCGCCGAGCCCGGCGCGCGCTTGCATCTCGGGAACCAGCTCCGCACAGCTGCCACCCGCGGCGCCGCTGCGAGAGGCCGGGACGCCCGCGCCCACGCCGCGAGGTTGCGCCTGCCTTGCTCCTCCGAGCTCCCCTGAGCGACCCTTGCCCTGAAGTCCCCAGGGTGGGCGCTCTGCAGGTTCTGCGGGAAGGGCCAGGCCCAGTAGTTCCTTCCTAGGCGAGGCGGAGGCTCAGACTGGGGCCCTAGGGTGTTAATTTCTTTTGGGGGACTTAGGGGAGTGAAATCCGGGGATGCTGAAGCTTCCTTTCTTTGGAGGAAGTTAAACCGAGAGAAGGGTGGAGAGGAATAAGGGTGCTGCGTAAAGAAGTTTTCCTCTTTTGCCCTATTTTCAATTTAGCTCCTGACCTTTAAGGTAATTTGCAAGGTTCTTAAATTGCTCCACTGCATTTTTCGGTGGACAAGTGGGTAGATTGAAATTTCACGGAGGTTCACCGTTTGGAAAACAGAAACATGGGAAATAGCTCATTTTCTAGGAAAGTGGCGTGGGTGGTTTAGGATGGCCGCGTTCACTGAAATTTCCTAGTACCTGCTGAAAGATTATGTTTCTAAACCGAAGCCAGCGGTGCGATGCAAATTTCAGAGGGAAGGTGTCCTCTTTCATCAGGCTCCAGGTCTATCTGGATGAACCGGGGTTGGCGTTTCCTCTGCACAGCAAGTCTTTCATGTTGAAACTCTGACTCAGGCTTAAAGCCGCTGTTTCTACGCTGGTACTCTGTGGGAGTTCAGTGTCCACTTTCTGTTTTCTCCTGTGGAATATCTCTCAGGGCAAGGATCGTTTACGTCTTTTGGGAACGTACAGAATTAAGTCCTACCAAGTTGTCCCCAGTTTAATCTTACTTTTCTGTGTAATATCGATTTAATGACTTACATCTTTCCCAATTTCATTGTTCGAAAGCTACAATCAGGCTACTTTACCAAGTTGGAAAAAAAGCTGTTGGGGTACTACAGGACCATGGTGATAGCCCTGATCTCCGTTAAAAGGCTCCAGTACAGCAGTTGATGGTCACTACTGTGATACTCTTATTAAAGCCTTTTCCTCATGGAATAAGTTGTTTATACCAAGGCATTGTCAGTTAACATTACATTTAAATGATGTGGGGTCACGGCTTGTGCATAAGTGGTTAGTGGCGAGGTAAAATTTTGGGGGTGAGAGCTTTTATGTCGCTGATTATTTACTGATGTTACTAAATAAAGGACTCTTGAAATTGATTGTCATTGTTAGATTTCTCTAGCAGATTGAGAGAACAAGTTTAGCAAGTGGCTGAAGACAGTAGGTGTTGCTGTTAGTTTCTCTGCAGTTCCTGGAGTTTGAAATCAGGACTTCAGTGCAGTGAACCTTTTAGATTTGAGGTGTCAGGCAGTGATAGTTGTGATTTCACTATAAGACTCTATGGCAGGGTTGGCTTGAACCCTTGGGAGTAATCCAAGGGACCTCACTGACTTTTGCATTCACTTTTGGTTCGAGTTATGTATGTAATTTTAATATATTCACCCTAATTTTTGAAAATAAGTTTTAGTGCATAGGGGCTACAGAATAACGAATAGGTATCATTTTGACAACTTTGTACCTGTTTATAATATACTTTGCTTTTCCACCTGGTCCTCCCGTATCCCCTTAACTGTCCTCTTCCTCCTTCTGATTGGCTCACCTTGACTTTTAAACAATACTCTTAAAGAATACCTTCTAGCAACCCTAAAAGTTGTAAGTTGAGGATTGTTTTGGTAGCTAAGCTTTGGAGTTTCTCAGGTTCCAAAAATATAGAAGAGAATGAATTTCTACCTAGTAGACACTACTTTTTTTAAAAGAAATATTTACTAACTCAGAAGCATACACTTTGGTAGGTATATTTTAGTTTGCATTTTTTTCTCTCCCTAAGCTTGTTCCCATTTGCAAAAGTAAGTTATGCCCTTCTTTTTTCTGGAGCAATGGCAGCGTTTATTTGTCCCTCAGCTAACTTGGAAGGGTCACCAAGGGTGGGGGTGGGTCACTAAGGTGTGGAACAGCTGTGCACTAGACCTGAACGTGTCCTGAGAGCTTCCTTTTGAAAATGCTACTGACTCATATGGTGCTATTAATTTCTGTATTATTACTGGGCTCAGAGAAGTTTGTGTCTTGCACGAATCGCTTGAGGTAGACACTCCAACCTTCTCTTTGTCGTACTTTTTGGTATAGGAAATAAATAGGCTCCATCCTAGTTTTGCTTTTTGTTTTCTGTACCCATTTACTAAAAACTAAAACAGAACCCATACAGGTATTGATACAGAGGAATGAAACTTCCAACCTGAAAGATGCCTGGGCTGAGTTGGTGTTCTCTAAAACTAAGAATGAATTTCAGAACAGCAGAGGTTAAGAGCATAATACATTTATTGGGGGAAAGAAAGCTCCTGTCCAAGAGAGGATGGAAGGGGGACTGAGCCTGTTTCCCTGGTATCTGTCTCTTCCAGGGATTTTTAAAGAGTAAAACCATATGGTGAGGTGGGTCTAAGGTAGAGAAAATGGGGACTCACTGAGGTGGGCATGAGGTGGGACAGTGAGGTGGGACAAATCTGTGGTGGACCAATCAGGTTACAAGCACCATTGCTCATGTAAGATTGATTAAGTCCAGGACCGAATGAGGAAGTGAGTTGTGTAGCATGCGGGCATGGATATAGGATAGGCATTCATCTGGCAGCCAGTAGAGGTTGGATTAGTGGCTCTTTCTGGCTTCCTCAAGGTGGTGATCAAACCCGGATGCTTATCTTTAGGGAGGTAAGCGTTTGTTTGATCTCTGGTCTTTAGGTCTGGCCCAGAGCAGGGCCTAGCCCTGTCTGACTGCCTGTTTTTTGTTTCTCTAATATAGGTAAGTTAATTTTTAGATGATAGTTCATTCATCCGTTTGGTGATCTTCTGAGACCTGTGGAGTGAATTATGGCAACAGGGGAAGGAGTCTCTTAGCTCTGGATCTGCCGGACACAGATGATTTCAGTGATAGAATAACATTTTGGTTTGCAATTAAGAGGGTAAGAAAAAGCATCTGGATACACACAACTTTTGAGTCCCCATCCATTTCTCTTTTCAGTTTGGCCTGGATTAATACAGTAACCCCAGGAGAATGAGAGTTTCTAATGATCTAGACAGATGAGATGAGGGATGGAAGGGAATTTTTTTTTTTTAACTAGGACCCTTGTAAATAGAAGTCTGTAGGTTCTCCTTCTAATTGGGATTATAGTGTCCCTAACTTTAGAGTGTAGGAAGGGGGCAGCTTTGTGTTTGAATTTCCTTTTCCAGTACAGGAGAGGCAGGAGAATGGGTACTTGCTGTGAAAAGCCCAAACTGGGAGAGAGAGTTGCTGAGTTATACAGCACAGATCTCTCAAGGGCAATCCAGCACACCCCCCCCCATCCAAGAAAGTCTAAGTTAAAGGAGTTTTTCAGACCAAAAGTAAATTTTATTTTATTTTATTTTTTATTTTAGGGAAGGGTCTACAGGGTGTTCAGGGTCTCACTACTAGATTGGACTCGTAGTGATCCACCTGTTTACAACCTCCCAAGAGCTGGGATTACAGGCATGCGTCACCATGCCCAATTGCTGTCACAGTGTGCCCTGGCGGTGGGGCTGGGGCTGGGGCTGGCACGGCAGGCCCTGGGATCAAACCCCTGGTCCCTGTCCCTGCTGCAGGCACTTTAATCGGCTGAGCTATTTGGCTGGCCCCAAAAGTAAATTTTGTTTAACTCTGTTCTTTCTACTTTTCCCTTGAAGTCCTTTATCAAACCTAAGAGCAGGCAGGCTCACTGGTTGTTTTCATGACTCAGCATCTTGCTTTTTCGTTAATGAGTTCTGATCTGCTCAGAGGAAAACTGTTGAGAATAAGGCAGTAGAGGGCTGTGCGCAGTGAGGTGACTGTCATCTGTGTCAGGGCTCAGGGTTGAGCCCAGGGCTTAATGCATGTTAGCCAAACATTCCGTGCCCCCAGCTTTGCCCCTATTTTATCTTTGATTTATCTTCAAATTCTAAACGTTTGTGCAGATAGCAGTTCTGGTTGGATACATTGTCAGTGCCTCAGAGATTTTCTTTTGTAGTCTGTAGTTCTCAGGATCAATTAACCATTTATTCTTACAAGTTTCTTTTTATTTCCTGGAGAAGCAGCTGATAATTGAGCTGTCTTAGTCCATGTGTTTGAGAAGAGTCAGTCTGGTGCAGTGGTCCACATTCCCTGGCACTCTGGGAAACTAGGCAGGAGGATCCCAGGTTGGAGCCCCTGGCTTAAGCTGGATGCGGTTACTGACGCTTTTCAGTTGGAGAAATACGTGGTACTTTTCTGAGGCTTTCACTGTTGTCTTGTTTTTAACATTAGGATCTTAGTGCGGATCCTTTGTAATAGGATTTGAGTTATGATTGCATAGAAAATATTTCTATAAATAAGTAATTGGAGAGCTCTAGGATTCACAGGTCTATTTTGGTGGGGTTATTTTGGAGGCTGTTTTCAAGGTAGTGTTTTAAAATAGTTTTCTGGGGGCCGGGGAGATGGCTCAGTAGAATAAGTGCTTGCCTGGCAAGCACAAGGGCCTGAGTTCAGTCCCTGGTTCTGCAAAAAAAAAAAAAAAAAAAATAGTTTTCTGGTTTTTTCTTAGTTTGGGTAGGGTGTGTGTTAGGGAGGGAGAGGGTAGGGAATCACACTCTGGCGCAGGGCACAGGATAGCCAGGGGAGTGGTTAAGAGCAAATTTATCATGATTTTTTAAAGTGCCAACATGTAATTGTCAAACTCAATTTATGTGTT